GCCAGGGAGGTTATGCTCAATTTTAAGGTATTTCTGAATTGAGATCAATTAATTCTGAATGTTTGCCATGTTAAAATATTTTGCCATTGGTGAATTATTTACCATTACTGATATACTGACAATTGTAATTCTTTTGAATGAGTTATGATGGATTTTAGTCACTAGGGGGGTGCTGTATATTATTCCCAATTAGAATATAGGGTATTTAAGCAGCCATCAATGTCTCCTCCCTATTCTGAAGAAGTCTGCACTGATTGGCGGATGAAACGCATCAATGTAATGTACTGATGTCATCACACCCGGAAGCAATGTCTCACGTGGTTGATATCACAAACTGGTGAGAGCAGCTACAGACACTGCGCCACTTGATATGCCTTCCGATGCAGCGGGAACTCTGCACGACAAGCAATCTACAATATGAGGTCTGACCATCACCCTGATTATTATTATTATTATACAGGATTTATATTATTATTATTATATAGGATTTATATTATTATACAGGATTTATATTATTATTATTATATAGGATTTATATTATTATTATACAGGATTTATATTATTATCATTATTATACAGGATTTATATTATTATTATTATTATTATACAGGATTTATATTATTATTATACAGGATTTATATTATTATTATTATTATATAGGATTTATATTATTATTATTATACAGGATTATTATTATTATACAGGATTTATATATTATTATTATATAGGATTTATATTATTATTATTATTATATAGGATTTATATTATTATTATACAGGATTTATATATTATTATTATAAAGGATTTATATTATTATTATTATACAGGATTTATATGGCGCCAACAGTTTGCTCAGCGCTTTACAATATAACGGGAGACAATACAGCAACAATACAGTTCAATACAAGAGGGATAGGAGGGCCCTGATCCTGGGAGCTTACAATCTAGGAGGGAGGGGCTAGTGGTACAAAAGGTAGTAACTGTGGGGGATAGACTGGTAGGAGGAGTAGAAGATTCCATTATCAGCTGAGGGCAGGATAGGCTTCCCTGAAGAGATAGGTTTTCAGAGATCGCCTAAAAGTGAGCAGAGTAGGCGATAGTCTGATAAATTGGGGGTAGAGAATTCCAGAAGATGGGGGAAGCTCTGGAGATGTCCTGGAGACGAGCATGGGAGGAGGAGACAAGGGAGCTAGAGAGCAGGAGGTCGTGCGAGGAGCAGAGAGGACAGTTTGGGTGATATTTGGAGACAAGATTGGTGATGTAATTTGGGGCAGAGTTATAAATGGCTTTATATGTTATTGTTAATGTTTTGAATTGTATCCGTTGGGCAATGGGAAGCCAGTGGAGGGATTGGCAGAGAGGGGTGGAGGACACGGAGTGGAAGCCAGTGGAGGGATTGGCAGAGAGGGATGGAGGACACTGAGTGGAGGGCAGTGGAGGGATTGGCAGAGAGGGGTGGAGGACACAGTGGAGGCCAGTGGAGGGATTGGCAGAGAGGGGTATGGAGGATACTGAGTGGAGGCCAGTGGAGGGATTGGCAGAGAGGGGTGGCAGATACAGAATGGTTGGTAAGGTGGATGAGTCTGGCAGCAGCATTCATGATAGACTGAAGAGGGGATAGCCTGCGATGAGGTCGGCCAATGAGGAGGGAGTTACAATAGTCAAGGCGAGAGATAACCAGGGAGTGAATAAGTTGCTTAGAGGCTTCCGAGGTTAGGAACGGGCGTATCTTGGAGATGTTGCGGAGGTGAAGTCTACAAGATTTGGACAGTGATTGGATTTGGGGCTGAAAGGACAGATGGGGTCCAGGGGCGGACTGACCATTTGGAAACTCGGGCACTGCCCGAGGGCCCGGGGTCAGTAGGGGGCCCTATGAGATGTCTCTGGTACCTTTTTCATAGGCTTATTGCCCGGGGGCCCCATGAGTTGTCAGTCCGCCCCTGATGGGGACTGTGTGGGATATTCATCTTATATCTACTACATGACAGCTAAGTTACAGCACACTGAGAATTCAACTTCTTGGAAACAGCTTGGCTCTCGGCTATTACGACGGTGGTGATTGCAATGTACTACAAATCATCGTTACTTGCTATTACACACCTCACCTGAAGTCATGCAATTACATCTCAGCTGTACTTTTCATTTACCATGATGTCTATTTGGAGGAATACCCTAAGGGGATAAAGATATCCATATATTTTCAGGATATTTCAAGATTTAAACCACACAGTATTCAAGCTATGAAGGAACATGGGACAGTATGAATCTTTCAACACTGTATAATTCCATAGAATCTTTCTTTTGCATTCTACAAACGGACATAAATTTTTTCTATCTGCATTTTAATCATTGCAGTTCCAGGCATCTGAAGTCCATATACATCTAGATCCATGTCCAGCCATATTTTTTGGTCTATTACCAACATTTAACAAGTATAGTCAATATGTCAATTATATAAAGCCATGATTTACATGGTAAAATATGGTATCATATGTAACATAACAGCGCTGTTATTATCTCTAACCAATTTTCAGTGAATTCCACTAAAATATATTAATGTTGTAATGGAACTGACCCAGTCTGCGCTTGGGTACGTCCGTTATTATACCTCTTTCCCGTCCGAACACCGACCACAGACACCACTGCAGACCATACAAGACTAGACACCACCAGTCTTGAAGTAAACCAGGAAATAGACTCCTTTATTTTAACACAGATACAAGATATATACATTCAAGGGAACAACCCCCCTCCCTGCATAATGACACAGGGCGGGGCAATCTACCTTTAGTAACAAGAGACACACCAACAGACAGTCCCATCAGGAGGCAGGGCTGCTGGAAACACCCCCCACCAAGCCAATACACAAACACATACATCCCATAATAGTTTGCTCCCAAGCAAAACACACAATAGAACAAAGATCTGCAACCACATGGCATTAAACAATCAACAACCCCCCCACCCCAATATTAGGACAGATCACCCTGTACCCCTAACAGGCACAGGGTGACTTACACATAATAGGGATATGGGGAGCTTAGACAGGGGTCTCCCCACCTCTCAAAAGTGAGCTGGGTTCCATAGGCCCCCACCCAAAGTGATTCCCGTCACAAATGTTGCAATCTGGATTGCTTTTCTGTCATTGTTTTTAATGTGTATTCAGTGATTGTATGTGTCACTATCCACGGAAATTACTCTTTTTCTTTACATGGGATTAATAAAAATATGTGATTTTACATATGAGCTACATTGCTTTGGTGTTCATTACCTACTTTGGTAGTTTGCTTTTGCCAACTACTACTCCTTTTTACTATATATTATTTTTTCGGTTTTTTTTACCCACACCATTAAAAGGTGCATTCTTTGAGCTCACTATTAGGTTACCCCGCCTTTATATTCCGTGGTATATTTATAGTTTTGAATGCTTGATTTTATACACCTGTGGCCATGGAGGTGATTGGAACACCTGAATCCAATGATTTCGAGGGCGGGGACAATACTTGGCAATATAGTGTATATATACACTGTTCGAAAAATGAAAGGAACACTTTGAAAACCCATCAGATCTCAACGGGGAAGAATCTCCTGCTGGATCTTTATACTGACATGGACGGGGTAATGTGTGAGGAAGGTAAGGATGTCCCATCGTTTGATGGAAATGAAAATGATCGACCTACAGAGGGCGGAATTCAAAACCACCCCGAAAATCAAAGTGAAAAGATGATGCAGCAGGCGAGTCCATTTTGCTGAAATGTCATTGCAGCCACTCAGAATGGTCCTCAGTAGTTTGTGTGGCCCCCATGTGCTTGTATGTATGCCTGACAACGTCAGGGGAGGCTCCTAATGAGACCACAGATGGTGTCCTGGGGGATTTCCTCCCAGATCTGGACCAGTATCACTGAGCTCCTGGACAATCTGAGGTGCAACATGGCGGTGTATCCCTGTGGGCACCTTTGTACTCACATTGGCCTAAGCTGGGCCAATGTAACTATGAGAAATCTGCCATACCTGGAATTTCATTATTACTTCCTGTTGATCTAACAAATAATGCATTGTATAACTGAAATAAAATAAGGTTTTATCTCTTTCTGGAAAATGGGTTACAGCATATTTAGTTTGAGAATCTTAAAGTGATTCTAAAGGGTTATTTTTTCCCAAGAAAAAATAACAAACACGGCTATACTTACCTGCTGTGTGCAGTGACTTTGCACAGAGCAGTCTGGATCCTCCTCTTCTTGGGTCCCCCACAGGCTCACCTGGCCCCTCCCTCCTGTCGGGTGCCCCCACAGCAAGCAGCTTGCTAAGGGGGCACACGCTGCTCCGTGTGTCCATTCACACATGGAGCCGCGGCTCTGCCACTTTAAAGTGGAACTTTACCCATAACAATTTGATGAAAAAAAATTATGTTCTTTAGCAAGAAACATACATTCCACATTGACAATTTTTTTACCAAAATAAGTGTGTGTGCTATAAATTGCCTCCAGCATTGTTCCTGATTCTTCTTTTGATGATGCCCAGAGCCCATGAGCAGCAGTAAATCTGTAGGCTGTCACAGGGGCGGACTGACCATTTGGAAACTCGGGCACTGCCCGAGGGCCCAGGGTCAGTAGGGGGCCCCATGAGATGCCCCTGGTACCTTTTTCATAGGCTTTTTTGAGTTTGGGCAAGGACACAGGGGCCCCATGATCCCCTATTGCTGGGGGGCCCCATGCGTTGTCGGTCTGCCCCTGGGCTGTGAGCAGATCGGCCTCTACAAATTCAGCACAGTGCCAAAAAAAAAAAAAAGAGCAACTACACATGTGCAGAGCAGGGTGAGACGGTGTATTACCATCTTTTAAACAGCATAGGAACTTCTTTTTAATATTTAACATAGCTATACCTGTAAAAGGGGCCAGTCCAAAGTGATCTAGCAGGACTTCATTTTCTGACTAAAGTTTCACTTTAAGAATATTTGTACAGTCAGTACTGTCTAGTGATGTGCTAGTTTTGGGACTCACCAACCCCAATATTAGTTCTGTTTGGAGCAGAGTGGCTGTTTAGGATTACAGCCGGGATAAGCACCTCGAATGTTGGAGATTGCACCAAGGGCAGCCTGGATAACAAAAAAAGAATGTGTGAGAACAAACTTCTACAATGAAATGTAATCTTTCCATGTTCATTGATGTACATACCATAGTCATAATATTACACGTAGCTATTAGTATGGATGAGCATGACCCACAGGAGGAAAAAGAGCATTTCAGCTATTAACCCAAAATATAGAGGTTCTATATACTATAAAAGTAATGGAAATATTACTTCAATGCATACAAATATCAGGTCCCAGAAGGTGGTTGAAGCTCAAAAGGCAACAGTTCATCCCTGAAAAAGTCTCGTGGTAGCCAGGGGTGGACTGACCATTTGGAAACTCGGGCATCGGGACTGCCCGAGGGCGCAGGGTCAGTAGGAGGCCCCATGAGATGCCCCTGGTACCTTTTTCATAGGCTTTTTTTTGAGTTTGGGCAAGGACACAGGGGCCCCATGATCCCCTATTGCCCGGGGGCCCCATGAGTTGTCAGTCCGCCCCTGGTGGTAGCGTGACGCAACGCATCGGACTAGACTAGAGAGTGGTGACGTCATTACGCACGGACGGCAGTCGCCATCTTTGGACTCCATGAATGTATACCTTAACTGTGGGATTACACAGGACATGCCTGATGGGTCTGTGACCCTGTTTTAAAGTGTGAGTAGCCTTTTTGCATTGTGGATTTCCTTAATAAATTAAAAAATACTACACTATGGAAGTTCTCTCTTTGACTTCTTTCATATGAGCCATTGAAGATTCCCTTAAAGGTGTTTGACCATTTAGTGACTGATTACGGTGGAGCCAGGGGCAGACTGACAACTCATGGGGCCCCCGGGAAATAGGGGATCATGGGGCCCCTGTGTCCTTGCCCAAACTCAAAAAAGCCTATGATAAAGGTACCAGGGGCATCTCATGGGGCCCCCTACTGACCCCGGGCCCTCGTACAGTGCCCGAGTTTCCAAATGGTCAGTCCGCCTCTGGTGGGAGCTGACCCTGTGTCCAGCCAGAGGGAGAGGATCCATCCTGCCTGGGATCATCCGGTCATACATTATGATCTCTGACTCCTTGAGGGTCAAATATTTGAGGTGGGCGCGCACGCCAGATGGTGACGGATAAACTGGCACAAGCTTTGAGCACGCAAATTATATATGGTTGAAGATTTGAAGTCCAGCACTTTTCATTCATCTTTGGGACTTTGCGATATATAATTTAATATGGCTATTGTCACGGTGTATGATTTGGTCACTGTTGATTTCACTTTAAGTGTCTCCATGTCACATTTATGCATTCACATTTTTTTTTCTATTTGTTTGAATCATGCTACACTCCATACTTCATATATATTTGAATTAAGTTGTTTTATTCACATCTTTTTTATTAATCACATACAGTGGCACACCAGTAATTGAACCAAGTTACTTTTATTCACATCTTTTATTGATTTTCACCATTTATTTTAAGTATATCACAGTATACACAGCGCTACACCACACATTTTCCTTATCAGTTTGTTATACATCATAGTAAAGCTGGGTGTTAATAGCTACTTCATTTTCTGAGACTATTGTCCACCCCCCCCCCCCCCCCCATTCAGTTCAGCCCCATAGCTGCCAAGTGTTTCTGGATTCCAAGATGTGTGCACACTAACAAAACTGTCTATCTCAGCTTCATGTAGAAATGAGTGTTTTTGCAAACCGTACAAAAAAGCAGATAAGGTTTACTCTCACTTCTGAAAAGTTTTAACCACAAATTGGGTGTTAGGTCAGATTACAGCCATGGTCTGGGCTTTAGAGGAGATATGGTATGATAGATAAAGCAGAAGAGTGAAAATGCAAACCTCATACAAATAATTGTTGAGTTAAGGTAAAATAATGTACATGTATTTGATTGGAAAGTCTGAGGGTGTGTTTGCCTAAAGACTACAGTATAATAACCCTGATGTTATGCCAATAAAACTGAAGTGTTTGCAATCGCAACTGAGGTGATTTGAGTGCATTCACTTTCCGAGATCTCGTAGCTGTGTCCAGGTGTGACCGTTGGTATCTTGAGGGGGCCCCAAGGAAACGGAAAAGACCACCCTACCTACTTTCAGTGGTGTCAGAAAGTGGGATAATTGCCAAGGTAAGTGAGAGTTTTATTTTTTAATGCTTTCTTTAAACGAGGTAAAGTTATTCTGAACTTCAGGAAATTTGGTGGTTGGAGTTTTAGGAGCGAGACTAAGGGATTCTCGGCTCGGGGAATAATACCAGGACACCCCTGGCACAGCACTTTGTATTATTTGTAAAAAGTGTGTTATTGTTGTTTTTTTTCGTCTTGTTTGTTAGTTTACTAATTTACTGCTATGGGTAATTCCTCAGGTAAGGAGGAAGGACCTCATCATGTGCCGCATCAAAAGTTGATTAAGTTGTTTAGAAGAACTAGAAAGCTGAGGGGAAAGAACACATCTACCTTAAATGAAACTTGTAAAAGAATATGTAGCAAGGGTATCTCCTTATGATATTTATTATGTTAATCCCTGGGTGGATAATTTAGTGGGATGGTCAAAAAGACTGGGTGGAGCTAGTTTTCCTTCCTGTGAAGGGGGAAATGACACTATGTGTATGGATATGATTAGAGGAATGTGTTAGCATGAAACAGCCTTAGGTAGGTATCTGGGGGACTGGAAATCCAGATTGGACAAGAATTATATGTATGAAGGGGGTAAAGAAATTGGTTGAAGTATGCACCAGGCTATAAGACTCTAATTGTAGCAAATGATTTTCACACCACCACCGCCATACAAACACAGCGAGGCACGTCCTGCCCCTACAAGCTCCACATGCAGCCACACTATCCATACCCGGCACTCCACAGGTAAAACAAGTAGATGAAGATGAAGAGGTTCTTATTGCTACTTCCCAGAATAAATACAGGGGAGGTCAGAAGAATCTAGCTCAGATGGGGAAACTGGGGAGTGTTAGTCAAAGGGATACTGAGAGGGGTAAAGGGAAAGTAAAGAGGAAGATAAAGAAGGTAGAAAAGAGTGATAGAATTCTTAGGTCAGCAGAAAGTAAAACAAGGGGAAGTTAAAGATGAGACAGCTGAGCTAGATATGATGAATTCAGCCTTTCCATTCATGATGATTGGGGAGCAGCTATGATTTTAAAGGCAATTAGATCCAAGGAGCTGGATGCTATAGTACAGAGATGCCCTAATCAAGGGAAATCCCCTACTTGCATTTACACCTCCCCTCCCGGTACAAGCAAAAGATGGACAGGTCTGGTATCATAAATTTCATGTGCTCCCGCATTGTCCTGTGTCCCTATTGGGCCGTGATTTGTTAGCTGACCTTAAAGTCGTGATGTCTATCACGGAGGAAGGTATGCTATTGGACACACCTTTCTTAATCTGTCCAGCTATGGATCATGATTTAAATAAGCTCCCTGAAAACCATATGGACTAAGAACACAACGGATGCAGGCATCATTTGACTGCACACCGTATTAAAGCCACCCTTAAATCAGGAACCCTGTTTATCATTAAAACAATACCCCAGCTGGTCCAAGAAAAAATTAGGACGGACTTAAACCTATTGTGGAGGATTTTAAACAGAGGGGAATACTGAAGCTGGTAGTATCCCCCTACTAATACTCCATTAATCGGTAAAAAAGCCCAATGGTGAGTGGAGATTAGTACAAGATCTCAGGGCGATTAACGATCTGGTCATTCCTATTGCCCTGTGGTCCCCCAGATATAACAACTTTGGTAAATGCTATACCTGCCAACGCCACACATTTTACAGTAATTGATCTGTCTAATGCATTTTTTAGTGTCCCAGTTGACCCGGAGAACACAGGTATTGTTTTACTTTTTGTTTTCAAGGGGAGAGGCTAACCTGGCCCATCTCTCTCAGGGCTACTCGCTGGTAGCATAATACCATGGCCAGTAGATCCATGCCTCAATGACTGGGTACCCACCCATGGTTCAGTACTTATCCAACACGTGGAGGCTGATTTACTGGATTAGTTCTGTGAGCGAGAAGGCGTCAGGCTGATTCATTATCATTGTTACGGTTTCTGGCTGATCAGGGACAGAAAGTCTCTCGCAAAAAGATGCTGTTTTGTGGCACCACAAGTTGAGTACCTAGGATTTGTATTGTCTGAGGGCCAGAGGGGGCTGAGCCCAAGGAGAGTGGCAGCAATTATGTCAACAACCATAAACCAGAAACTAAGGTCAGATGCAATCCTTCTTAGGTATGGTAAACTATTGTAGACAGTGGATTCCTGACTGTGCTTATTATGACAATGTATTACGCCACAAGTGACACGAAAGATCAGCCAGACCGTACGGATACTGAATGGACGCTGCCATTGGTGCAGGCATTTGAATATTTGAAGGACACAGCACTGGTCTCGTCTCCCGCATTAGGGTTACAGGATTATACTAAATCTTTTCATTTGTATTGTCAATTCTGTTGCATGTAAATCCATGGCTGCAGTACTAGTCAAGAGCACGGTGGTGCCATGAGGCCTTCCTTGGTAGCATATTTATCACAAAACAATGCCCATCCCGGTCCAGGGCATGGGGGTGTCTCCAAGCTTTGTCTGTGTGTGCCTTAGCTGTGGGAAATGGCAAATCATAGTTTTGGGGAAACCCATTGGATATTACACACATCTTCATCATGGGGCTACATGTACTGAAAAACATTAACATCTCAACACATGTCAACACAACGCCTGGCGGGATGTGAAGTAATTTTGGCTGACATCCACCAATAATCTCACAGTTAAATACAGCCATCTACATCATGGACCATCTCTTTTTCTATTGTCCTCCCTGCTTAATCTTCACAAACACAAGGTCACTAGAATTGCTGTTTTACGAGAGGAAACAATTGCCTGGATGTTATCCAAGCTGACACTTCTTCCGCGACTAGATTTGTTGGAGACTCCGATTCTGGAGCCCCTGATGTGTTTGTCGATGGATTTTGTGTACACGCCCTTGTTGATGCTATTACATCATAGGCTATGCAGTAGTAGAACCACCTC